AAATTTTAAAACAATTAAAACACTACCAAATTGAACAGTATAAAATCATTTAAAATAATACAAATGGTTTTTTTAACAAAACCAAAACATATCCCAGTAAGAAGTTTCCCAGCTAACATATTAGAAGCCTGCTTAAACTAAAAGGCCTCCTGCAGAAGGGAGTTCCAGAGGGTGGGAGAAGCCACTGAGAAGGTTCTCTCTCATGTCTTCACCAAGCATATCATTGATGGTTTATTGTTGTTGTGTTGTGTGCCTTCCAATTGTTTCTGACTTATGACAACCCTAAGGCAACCCTCTCATGGGGTTTTCATAGCAAGATTTGTTCAGAGGAGGTTTTCCATTGCCTTCCCCTGAGGCTGAGAGCATGTGATTTGCCCAAGGTTACCCAGTGGATTTCATGGTTGAGTTGGGAATTGAACCCTTGTTTCCAGAGTCATAGTCCAACACCAGACCACTATGCCACACCTGACTCTCACTTGGTGGGATGACTACTGTATAAAGCTTTCCCCTGTAGTTTTAAAAATTCTGGCTGGCTCATTTGGGAAGCAGTGAGAAGTATGAATGCTCATGTACTCCACTCTATCAATAGCAGCCTGTATGGTGTGACTATGTCCCTGAATGATGTGAAGATCCTTCCTTCTTCTCTTTTTAGAAGGATAGATCATGTGAATAGCCTATGTGAATGGCAAAACTGTTGGTTTGCATTGTAGACTAGCTGGAGCAGACAAGTATTCATGCTTCCCCCACCACATACAGAGATGAGTTGCTTACACCCACAAAGCTAATCATTCTACACACAGCTAAAATTGTTTCTAAAAGCATACCTATATCTTGATCCTAATCATGTTGATTTAGAAATAAATCCCATGATTCCATTGAGAGTTGCTAGCTAGAGGTATACTTAAGACTATGACCATGCTGTTCTACAAAGAGCTTTAATAATATTGTTCACAGGGATTAACCAGATATACTAAGATTTGTTTGTTACTATTATAGCCTGAAAATTTTAAAGCTTTCATCTTGATGAAAGCGAGATGCTGGGCATGGCCATTAAGAACTAGACTAATATTATGTACTGAAATATATTTCTTTCCAAAGTAGGGTTTAAAATAAACCACAGATTTCTCTGCAGTGTAATCAGCTGATAGTGATATAACCTACAACATCTCTTCAGTTTCCATAGGAACAGATGATAGACTATTTGAATCTTGAAGTGTAGTAGAATATATTTCAGGGGATTTTGTTTCTGAACTTTTATATTACTGAAACCTTTTAAAAGGTTGCATTTTACACTAGATTGGGGCTATTTATTACAGTTAGTCCATGTAGGTGTATGGAGGTGGCCATTGAGGGACCATCAGAAAAAGAAGAGAAAGAAGACTCGTTTGCATATTCAAGTTTACAGAGAGATGCAAACTTGGTATAGTTTAGAAATAAATGCTTTGCATCTCACCATAATGCAGAAAATTGTCACCAGGTGACCCAAGTATTAAAGAGCAACTTCAAGATTTCTGCTCCTATTTGTTATGGTTGTTTATCATGGCTGTTCAAACAGAGAACTGTCATCTGCAAAGCAAGATACATAGGCACTAGAGATACAGAAAGTGTGTCAGTTTTAAACTTTGGAGATCCTTATTTTCTTATGCTGCTTGCATATTAGGTAGAGACATTGCTTAAAGGCCTAAGCAGACTGCCAGAAATAGTGCACATTAAATTGAGGCACTGCCCTGGCTCAGTGCTAGGGAGTCATGGGAATTGTATTTTTTTCTGGGACATTGAGCCTTCTCTGTCAGAGAGCTCTGGTGCCACAATAAATTACAGTTCCCATGATTCCCTAGCACTGAGCCAGGGCAGTGCCTCAATTTAATGTGCACTATTTCTGGCAGTCTGCTTAGGCCTTAAGTCAAACTTGGAGGAGAAAAAGTGTCATAAAGTAAAAATTGTCTTCATTTAGAAATTCTGTTTTAAATATTAACTTCACATGTGCAAATCTAAATACCTGTGTTGGATGGTATAGAATGTTGTCACATCATATTGTATTTTAAACAATACGGAATATGTAGTTTGTTGATACTTTATTATATGAACAGAATGGACTTCAACTGGAGATTGGAAGCACTTAATTTTTTTTAACTTGGCCCTCTGTCCTCTCGTTTAAACAGTTTTGTCAACATTTGACACTAAAATCAGACCCATTGTATTTTATAGCTTCCAGTTAGTTGTTGAGAAATAAGGTGAGCAAAAGTAATTTTGATCATGGAGAAAATAAACAAATATAATTTAGGCTTCATTAAGGTGGAGGTTAAGGTTTATTATTTAAAAAAAAAAAGTTCAGAGGTGAAAGCATGAGAGGAGTGATGGAGGTGTGTGGCCCCAATTGCAACCAGACACCTAATAATAACCAGAGGAAGAGCTCCCCAGTCAGAAATACTATTTTCATATCTCCTTGAGATCTGGAACCCTTCAATTAAGCATTGCTTAGAAGGAAGTTTTTGGGGAAGAAGAGACAAGAATGTGTCACATGCAGCTCAGTTTGTCATGGACTATGATATGTTTCAGGTCAGTGCCTGGATGCAGACATCTGTGTTAGCTGGCCAATGAATGAAAAGACTCAATTATAACCAATCTTCCCCCCCCCCCAAAAGGAAAACTTATTTCCTTTGTTTATATTTAATATTTCTGTTAGTTGGCCCAGAAATGAAAACACCCAATTATGATCAATCTTTTCACCATAAAAAGGAGAACATCTTTCTTTTATTTGTATTTAATATTTGTATTTATTTATTAAGAATAGTTCCATGAACAACATAATTTTAACTTCATGTGTACATACGTATAATGTTAATATAAACATATTTCAATTTACAATATCTCACTTTAATTTCTTTATGGCACTAGCATTTAGTGTTGCTATTGGTGGTGAGTAAATGACTTCTTACATTTGTTTATCACCATATGTACTGAACTAGATCAAGCTTTTCTATTTACCAACTAAATATTTTCAGTGATTAAAAGACAAAATGTGTTGAGTCCTATGAGTCATAGCAGCCATCATTAATGTCCACCTCCACATAGTAACATTAATCTGGCTTGAAGCCTTGTCTGGTTAAAATAAAAGATGATCCTTTTTAATAACAATTTCATTACAGTGAGCCGGTTAAAACTTTGTCTGAATTATATATTTCCTAGACGAAAATGAAGACAGGACCTTTTTAGAAGGAAAAGATGAGGTATCAAAAGCATCAACAAACAAAACCATTAATTGGAAGGTGTCAGCCTTGACCAGTATTAACCATTATGCCCTTGAAAAATCTTTATTCACTTTAGAATTGGTTAAATTTAAGGGGAAAATAAATTGCCTGCAATATTTTTTCAATGAGGAAAAGGATGAGTGGAGAGACTATTTATCACTCTTCTAAAGTATTAGTATTGTATTTTCCAGGGAATGTATTGTAATAGTATGAAATTGAATAAAAGAACCAAATGTAAAAATAGCTTATGGTGTTTTTTGCTCTCTCCCCCCCCCCCCATTTTTATATAATTTAAAGAGACTGAGGCCTTACCCTCACTGACTGACATATTGACTCGATGGAAAATCAGCATTTTAAGGGTCTTTCCTCACCTACACACCTAATAGCTAGTTCATTTAGCTAGAAAATTCCGATTGACCAAGTTGTCTCAAAACAGGATACCTCATTCAAATGTGGGATGCAAAGTATATCCAGAAGCTGTGTAGATACTTCAATGACAGTTTCCAAAATGACATCTTAACAAAATGAAGAATATAGTCCTCAAAAACAGAAAAAGCCAGCCTCACACAGAATCGAATTCCACTACTCCTTAACTTTGTTAATTCCCAGCAAATATTATGTCAGCAGAATGCAGCCTGTACTAGAAAACATTCAGTCCAGTCCCCTCAGCCATGGTAGCGGGTGGGAAACGGATGCAGGCCTAAGATGTCAGTGCTTATAAGGGTGGATGTGCCTCCTGAGTATAAAACCAATCTTTCTAAAGAAATCTCCATGCAATTTTGTCCCAAGAGTTTACCGAAGAGGAAGTAGTGATTTTGAAAAATCAGCTAAGCATATTTGTTGTTCTTTTTAAAATTGCAGAGCTGTAAATATCTCCCATTTTCACAAAAGCATGCAATGAAACTTTTTTGCCCCAAAACAGGAAGGGGGGGGGCCTGGAATTTGAAATGCATCCCAGAAGATCCCTGAAACCATGCCTTTCCCACACTTCACACTTATCAGGTGAACCAAAAGGCACAAAATATATCATCAGACTTTTGAAACTCAGTGGCTTTCTAACCAGGCAAAAATCAAGTTTAAAAATGTGCAAAGTGGGCAAGGGAGGGATGGTGCTAAAGTCACAGGTCTGCATCTTGCTTGAGGTGTTTGCTTAAGGTGATCTTGAGAGAGGGCCAATGCTGATAGAGGCCACATACCTTCATCGCTGTGAGGAAATTGGGAACAAAGGCAGTGCAATAAATACAATCAAGGACTAGAGATAAATAGAGGCATTACATAAGGTAGAGTATGCCAGGAGGAGCCAAATTCAGATTGCTTTATCTTTGTTGGAAGGGGGAAAACCCTCAGAAAATAAAGTCTTACTCCCTCTAGGTTAGGATTCCCTTGTTCAGCAGCTAAGTTTGGAATCTTCAAATCTAAAAAAACAAAACAAAGCAAAATAAACAGGGAAAGCTGCATTGCTTATACAACACTGGTTACCATTGTTATGTGATGTAGTCACCTGTTATTGAAGCCCCAGCTGGTCGTTTTCTTAGTATCAGTGACGGCATTTGTTATATAGCCAGATTTGGTAGCTTGCAGTAGGACAAATATTGATAGAACGTGGGGGAAGTGCTGTTAAAATTGAAAAAGGCCCACAAGGATTCAAAGGCACTGCTGTTCTTTTGGCATTCCACATGGAGAGCCTGGTGTGTGTCTATCACAGGGAATTCTCTCTGCAGCAGCCTTCTTCTCAAGAAAAGAATAATGAAACTCACCTAAAATTGCCCATGGCAATGCTTTCATGGGAGAGGGAGATTTAATTAGCTGGCTGCCTCTGTTTTGGATCAGCACATGGCAAAACCCAGTTTAAAGCAGCCTTAATGTGGGAATAATCTATCCATTGCTCATCTCTGAAATTCTTGGTGAATTCAGACTATGCCTCAGGCTGTACTGTCTGCTAAGCTTCCTTGCCAAAGGCTATGAAGATCTTTTGGATTTCAACTGAGAGCTTTCCTAAGGGGAAACCCTTTAGGTTATTGTCTTTGAAGATGGAAGACTGACTTCAGTTTCATTACTGGAGCTATGAAGTGTGTCACGTCTTAACTCAGAAACGTCAAGGCTCCTGCACCTCAAAAGCTGTCTTCTAAATAAATATTGGTTGTAATATAAATTTGTTTTTACCCAAGAGCTATTCAGCTTATATGTCTTAATATTCTGGTGGTCATCTGACAGG